AGCATCCATCGATATCACTGGAAGCTTTCAAATACAAGCGCAAATCTCATCAAGAATTACCGTCTGGTGAGACACTTGTCGTAGATGCTACATACTCAGCTGAGCTGACCGTTTTTGGTACCTATCCTACCGCAATTTCAAAATCTCGCAGTCATCTTGAAATAAAGTCACGGATTCCTGACCTCGTTCAAAATGAGAGGCCTCTTACATATCAGTTCGCATTCGGTTTGGTGGAGGATGCTCAGGAATTTTTGCAGGGGGTGAAGGCCGAAGGTGAGCATTTTTCTTTGCGTGCAGGTGACGTATTGACTTTTCTTCCTCAAGGAAACTCGAGTCGTATACAACAAGCTCCGCAAAATCTGGGATGGGCAGCAGTCAGTCTGTCAGCCATTTCGGACTGGTCCTCCTCGAATCGACATACACTATTACATAATCTAACTGGTGCGTTTTCGCGATACAGACGCTAAAAATATAATAGGTATAATAAATAGAAGGAAACCGTCCTAGCTTGATCACCGCACTTTGCATCGCTTTGGCGGAACAACGTCATCCTCTATATCATCTTCTCTGGTACGTTTTTGTGATACCAGTTCATCATTTAGGTCTTTGAATGACTTGTTCAGCTTGTCCAACGACTCGTGCAATTCCAGTCGAGATACCACGAATTGAGGGCCTCTTTCATCGTCCGAAAGCCTAGCGAGATGCGTTTCCAGCAACGTAACTACTTCATCGAAGCGGAGTTCCTCTGTCCTGGTGTTGTGGAATTCCGCGTCCTTTCTATCCGATCTCTTCTTGCGAAGAAGGTCATACCACTCCTCTGCGAGGGGAACAAGATCCTTGAAATAGGGATCAAATTGTTCGCATAGGCGCAATTTCTGCGAATGCTCCGAAAAGAAGTATGACTTGTCCTTTGCACATCGTGCTGCATCCAATTGCGAACCTTGCCATTCTTCTGGCAGCCAATCTGTAGAGCCCATGGGACGGTGCACTATGGGGTCAAGGTGGCGCCTTGTACCGGCAGGCCCCTTGAACACGATACAGACCCAAGCGAAGACGTAAAACAGAGATTCAAGATCGTCGCGATAAAAATGTGCGACTCCTTCAACCTCGGTGACTGTAGTGAGTGAGGCCTCCTCGTGCTCTAATGTTCCCGTCTGGCTCTGCAGCAGTTGAATTTTGCCCATCTGATCAAGGAGATCGATAGACATAAACGGTATCGTTCCCTGAACATATCTTAACCACTCGTCTCCAATAAGTGTAGGTCGCTTACCGTTCCATCGGCGGGGTACATATTATCTGATGCGATGCGCGCAGCGAATTCCCAGTCAATCAATGCCCCTCGACTGTCGCCTTCGCAGTCCTCTATCATGATATTATTTAGACTGCAGTCTCTATGCAAAATATGGTGCATTTCAACCGCACACTGCTGAACTGTAACACAAAATTAGTTGACATAGACTGCGACCAAAGTAAGTAGCAATCTCACCAAGCACAATGTCGCGTATTATTTTGACAAACTCCTTCCTGCTTCGAAACATGTGTAAAGGACGTGCCTGAGGTTTCAAGACCAGACGGACATGTGTGCGAGACATGTTCATTGTGCTACTGTGGATTATCTGGCGATAGTTCTGCGTCTCGTCGGGTTGACCCTTCTCTACTTCAACGAGCCAGTATTCCACAAGTTCCGGAACGCCTGAGACACCCTCCATTTCTTCTAACATCTTCACCTCGTTCAAGACGGCATCCTTGTTTCCTTTCACCCAGTGATCCTTCACAATGTACTCTTCGCCGTTCCTTCTAGCTAGGTAACATACGGTTCCGCGGCCTACGAGTCCTTGGCAGGAGAAGAGGACCTTTAATAAAAGATATTCGTGGTCGTTGACGGTAATCTTTCCTATTACCTCATCGTTGCCACTACGATCTGACGGGTGGGGGGTAAACCTTGGTTGCCTGGAGTCTGCCATGGGCTCAGCTGTGAGCTCGGTGGGTAAGGGGTATGGCCTTGAGGAAAGTGGCGGAGACCTGTTCTCGGTGGTGTAGGGTGGAAGATATACGGGATGTGAATGGAAAGGTGCTATACATGGATCCACAGAGAGCGGTACAAGTTGCACGCGGGGCTTGGAGCGATCATCAGCAACCGCCTTTCTCCTTCGTCGGGAAAGAGTCTTGATGTTTTGAGCCCACAACAATCCGGACACCGGTGATATCATCTTTGGGTTCATGGTGATTGTGAGGTCAAATCCTATGCAGTCACGTCTGCCAAAAACTATACATGCCATGATATATTGGAATGTGTCAGGCTCCCGATGTATGTCGACTGGCAGGGTTACAATGCCGCCCGAGTGGTCATAGAAGTGCACGCGAAGTTCGCGATACTCATTGTAAAAAGATAGAAAGAGTACGAAACGCCTCCACGGCTGGTCCCTGAAAACGAGCCAGGCCTTCGTGTCAAGCGTCATTCCGGCGCGCTCTGCGGCAGAGTACATGCTTGAGCTCAGCTCAGCGACTACAAGCATGTTGTTCCACTGCAGGTCCACCTCGTCTGATAGGACAAGATCGGGCTTATCGGTTGTGCCAACTGGCCTGGTGGTGTGCGATCCGAACCATAGCGGGGGAGGGATGTGTCCTGGCAAATATTTGGCAAGCGCTTGGTCGAGGTTATTGAGGAACAATGAGAAACTGCTCTCAATTGTCTGTGCTGTGGCAAGAGGCATGCGCCACGTTTTGGTGGTAGAGTCATAGAGAGACTCCGTGTCTGGCTTTTTGAGGGTGTCCGCAGGGGGTAATTTGGCATTGAACGATTTGAAGATGAAGGACAACACATGACCGATGCTCTCAGTGTTTCCTTTGTTTTCTTGGGTGATTAAACGATTCAGTTCGGAAGTTGTCGGTTTGTCCATGGAGGAGAGGTTGGTGTTTCTGGGGCCTGCTGGCAGCAATGCAAATTTTGACCCCGCTACAGTCCGGTAATTGTTCGAAGATGTGCCCTGGACATGGGAAGTTGAGCCGTCTACAAAAGCTCCAGGCTACTGTTATCACAAATCAAGATGATATTAGCGTGTCCTAATGAAGAATGTTTGATAGATCCAAACTTATCGGTAACCGTTGAACGGAACCCTTCAAACGACCTGCCTCAAACGACCTATCTGGAAGTAGGCTCGCGGATAAAGCGTTTCGGAGCGTTGAACATAGGGCTACAGAAAGTTCACCTACGACTAGTGAAAGGATTCCGCTGTTAGTAAGATTAATAAAATTTGGACAGGTCCGAGTCGGAGTTAAGTAAAAGCTTTCCATGTGGAATTTGTACAATTGTGACCTAAAAGAGTACTGAGGCCGTCTGATAATTCTGAGTGGCGCACACTTTGGGCCGCAATCCCACTGAAGAATCTCAATTGTGCGGCTGAAGTTGACGGTCGCCGATGAGTTTTCCCGACGACTGATCGACGGAAAATACTTAAACATGGAAGTTTGGAAAGAAGGGCACAAACTATAACGTCACGATTGTCTGTGAAGTGGTACCATGGTAAGTTCATGGAGCTGGAGGTTGATGCACCCTGGATTACACTTTTACGGCATTATGAGTCCCGTAATCACAAACAATTTCGCAGTTGATCAATATCGGCTCAATGGTCTGTACTATTGAGCTGCGCACACTCCAAAGGCTGGTCATAGCAGTTTTCTGCCTCCTTTGCCGACTTAGCCGTATGCACGGCTGAGCTACCCTGAACTGACATTACCTCTTCAACGATGTTCGTCGCCGCCAGACTCTCAGGCTGCCGTGCTACCCATTCGAACACTAGCCTGAGACAGGTCTCTCAGCAGAACCCTGGATGCGCCCGCTTCATCAGAGATTATTCAGAAACCAAGAACTTTAGTGAGTCTTGAGAAAGTTGTTACGATTTCCACATTCTACCGATGGGAAAGAGACTCGAAAAGATATTCACACTAAGACTGAAACAGATAATGCCAATTAACTGCGAGTCGACCAACCGCGATCTGGGGATGAGATGAGCGGTACATGTAGTTCTGTATCCTAGTGCGTTGAAGATCACAGCGGACATTCTGTGTACAACTACTACAGAAGCTCTCAGAGTCAAATATGGGCTCCGTGTGGTCGTAATTGACGCGCAGAAGCGAGATGGCACGGCCAAGACACGAAGCGACATTCTCCTCATTCTGCTCATAAACTTCAGGATCATCGTTACTTCTCACCCGTTCTCTGACATCGAAGCTGACCTTTCAGGTGTTCAGCATCAACGGATTCTACGGACAACATTGCACCAACCGCCGCCCATCATTGCCTTCATCTTATTTTTCATCACCCACTTATGCATTAAGAACTTATCTAGCCCACTTCCGTCGTAATGCCCCGAGTCGGCCATGCCTCGACTCGCAGAGCTCATGACTAATTTCACCGTCTAGGTCCTAAGTCTCGCACTCTGCCACAAGTGATCTAGCAAGACTTAATATTGCCTTGCAATGTCAACCTACCTCGCACGCTCTCGGCAGGCCATTCCGGGCCTATTCTTGGAATGACATCCAAGACGAACTTATTGGGGTCTTCCCGAGGCCTCATCGGATTTGGACACTTTCGCTAATACTATTTGTTTCGGTGGTTCGGTGACTAAGACATGAGCATTGTATTATTTCATCTTGTAATTACGTTAAACTCTCCAATTTGAATCTGAGTGGGCGATCACGTTGTTTTATCGAGTCTAATTATAAGGTTGTTGGTAACGAAGCAATTGCCGATAGAAATATGACGGCTGGGGTGATATTTTGAATTCAAACAAGGGTAGATTCGTATAGTACAGCGTTCTGTCTTCAGGGAGAAGGGAACTTGAAGTCGGGAAGGCAAGCGGGCGACGAAAACGACACGACGATAGTTCCAGAACAGAGACACACATGACCGTACATACAGTCATGCCGTGTGGATGAGTGGAAAGGCCATCGCATCGGGAACATTGAACTAGCGAGTAGCGAAGGACCTGGTCACTCTGAAAGTTGGCGATGAAATCGGGAGGACGACGATCATGCGAGCTCAACGGTACAAACCGTCGAGCTCCGTGTGACGAAAACTTCGTGTGTTAATGATTATCCTAACTAAGTTGGAGGTGAATGGAGGAAAGGCACGACGATTTGTATCGTCGTGCCGTAGCCACATAGTAGTACCGTCGCGCCAGGGGGAAGGAAGTGCACGTGTGAAATTATTACGTACATCAAAGTTCCTGGAAAGTCCATTCATCCTTACTCCGATCAGACCAAACATACTACCAGGGCTGTTACTTCCCTGTACCCGTCCGGCAACTGTAAGTCGCTCCCGTTGGCCACCATACGCAGTTAATTGTACACTTTTAGATGCCAACCTTCTTCCCATCTTTCAAGATAGCGCAACTCCCAGGTGAGGTTGCCACTATTTTGCTAGTTTTGTCTTCCACCTGCTGAAGTTGACCGTTCGTCTAAGCAAGCGATATCCGTTTGCTTTCATCGTGTCTATCACCCTTGGCTACGGCACAACGATTTGTATCGTCGTGTCTTTCCTCCATTCACATGCAACTCCGTCAAGATGACCATCGACACATGAAGAAGTGCTCGTCGCCCGGAGCTCGAACGGTTTGTACTGTTGAGCCCCGATGACCTTTCATCCCCATTATCATCTTCCTCGATTACAACTACGAGGCATGACGCAAGTATGTCCGCGCCTTTCTTATCAACGTTCCGAGTCCTTCGCTACTCTCTCGCTCGATGCCTCGATTTCTGACACCAAACAACATCACTCGATTGCCGCCACGCGGTGAAAACATTCGCTCAAGATCAATCCGAGCACGAACGAAATGAAGAACATTTGACGTGTCATATTCCCCATTTCTCACTAACAACGTAACTGGTGAGAATGATTTTGTTGTCGCTACCCGTGCGTCTCTGAATGAGCTCCTGCTTACTAGTTTTCGCGGAAAGTTTCCCTACAATCATGAATGGAGCGCTTGTGGGCTTCCCCGAAGCACCTGACCTTAGAAGCGAGTTGACGCCTCCACTTTTGGCATTCATCGATTTTGAGAGCTAATATTGGTTATTGTGCGCTTTCAGGAAAGTTTCTCCTTTCACCCTCATATCAACTTCCATTCTGTTTCGTCGCTTACTCCTTCTGAGCTCGATGGTCTGTGCTATCGAGCTCATCGTCTTAGCCGACTATGCTTTTGCTACACTCCTTCGGAGTTCGATGGTGTCGAGCTCATCGTCTTCAATCTACACGATTCTCTGAACACGACGGTTTGTACTTTTTTTTTTGAATCGAATTATTGTCCATTGGGGTGTGCTACCCTATGTCGGACAATACTAACTAGTCTAGGGGGCCCCTGTGCCCCGCGCCTCATCTGTAAGTCTGCAAATGCCCCAGGATGGGACGTACCCCCTGGTCCGCCGTTCCCGCCGGCCGTTTTAGATGCACGACTTATCGAAGATGGGCCAACTGTTCTAGGTATACGGATATTGAACTTGAATGGTCTGCCGGTGTTTGATCGTCGTAAACGCGTACTCGGCTGCCGGAGCAACCAAGGACATGAAGCTATGGTAGGAGTGTACGAGAGGTGGGGGTGATAATCGGCGAAGTGCTGAGATTAGTGGTGTCGTCTACGATTATGTTGGTTTCTGTGCGCGTTGATGTCTTGTGTTCTTCGTCTAGCTCCGTCTATTCATCATATCGTCAGCTTTCTCCTGCTTCTATCCCTGCATCTTCAGTAACTGAGTCCTGCTGGCTTGAGGCCGATGTCTTCGTCTCGAGAGTATGGACGGTATTAGTGCTGTCTTTAAGTCTGGTAGGTTCTGATACTGCTAATCATTAACTATTCACGAGGCGGTGGAAGGGATACGTCATCGAACGTGGGTTTGAATCTGCCCGGACGGTTTGTACTGTCAAGCTCACCACCATCGATCCCCACAATCACCCGACGTCATAAAAATAGTAAAAATGGTGGTGGTGGGGCAGCAGCTCTTAACTTTGGGGAACTTTGGTATCGGGATGACTACAAGGGGGGGACGTATAAGACTGTACTTCCTCCGCCCAGATTGCTTACTGAGATATGTAATACACAAATCTGCATACTAGTAGCTAGTCCTACATGACACGCTTTATTTTATATCGTAGAATACATTATTATAATTCAAACCATGTCTCAACGCTTTCAACTTGTCCAGTATGGCCTCTTGCCGGGCCAGCTCGGCCTCTTGCAATGCTAGTTCCGCTTGTTGATGAGCCAGCTTGGCTTTTTGCCTGTCCAGCTGAGCTTGTTTCCGGGCCACTTTAGCCTGTGTCTGGGCCAATTCGGCGTCTGTTTGACCCCTTGCAATCCACGTTTGGGCCAATTCGATCTGTTTCTTCTCAATCCTGTCATCCATGTACAGTATGGTCTCCTTCAAGCTCTCCTCCAAATGTCGTTTGTTCTGCAAGCGCTCCAGATTGAGATTGGACCGTGCGCGAACTTGTGCACGGGTTCCACGGCAGACCGCTGATGGTGGTACCTGTGTAATCGGTCGCTGTCTCGGCTTCCTCTTCTAATGCTTGTGAGAGCTTGTCTTGGCTGTACTGAATAGAATCACGCACATTTTTTGGTTGTTGCTTGTGTGGGGATGCAGCGATCCTTGTGTGACGAGTCCGTGGGGTTCTTGCCATGGTATCTCACTTCAGATAGTAGGGGTGGGATGCTCGGTGTGTATCTTAAGAAGACTGTCAATGGGCGAGGTATTAGTTAAGAAAATAGTAGTGGGTCGCTAGTTTAGACCTTGCGTATTGTGGACATCGTAGGTCAATGAACTCCACTGACAATGCCCGCGTCAGCCCAACAGCATACTTTGATTTACTTATTAACTAAGATATCCACGACCTGGATGAGTGCAGCCCCAATATTTGGAACAGAATGGACATCGCAAACGATTATGTACATTATAACACTGCCTGCATGTATTTTATAATATAGGAAAATATAGGAGCGAGCTAGGACAACTGAAAAATGAATAATGGGTCAGATCCCAGCACAGTACAAACTGTTGAGTGGTCGTAGCCCGGGATCTCAAGAGTGTGGAACAAAGACAAGTGCTTGGGCACTACGTCGGAGACTCGGAGGTAGTCACGGGATTGCATACATACAACCCTACCGCGTGGATGAGGGGAAGGAAGGACTTGGTACGTTCAAAGCGATGAAATCGGGAGAGAAAGGCGGTGACACGACCGTACAAACAGTCATCCCGTAGGGAAGGAAGCGAACATGACGAGGAAGAAAGCGGAAGGACGCCTATGACGATGAGCTCGGCAGTATAAACCGTCGAGTCCGTGTGCAAGGAAACTGAAGGTAAAGATGAAGGAAACTTGTATAGTAACTTGGATTGGCTAAATGACTCAGGCTTATGTAATAATACCGCGATCGGGAAGATCGTTTATCGTTTATCGATGCGAAGTGGTAGCTTGCGAGCACAAGATAAGTCAGTCTACGTTACGAATTTGTTTCAATGCAGCTCTTTGAAATCAGCAACGTACCACGCACGCAGACTCGGATCACATTTTCGCAGGACAAGATAGACGACAGCATATACTACTACATATCGATGTACAAAAAAAAAACTTCTATAGTAGACGCAAACTTATATTCTATAATACACTGCGGGATGTACTAATACATGTTTCAACAAATCATCACCCGCCCGTTCCCGATCACCAGGCAGCCCAATCATAGTAGTGACTCGCTGATATAGTTGGGTAAGATATGGAAGGACTTAACTCTTCAACGTCTCCCGTCAACACAAGGCCTACGTCCTTAAGTTGCTTCAGCTTCAGGAACTCCGGTTGTGTGACCGGGGAGACCAGGATGGACGTGATGGAATGGCGGGGTATAGTTGCGTCCGCATCCAGCAACAGAGCTGCCAGCGCGTTTGGCGTGCGAAGTAGCGATAGATCACGCAGCTCGGAGAAAGCAGACATGAAGATGCTGAATGCAGTGACGCTTGCATGAACCCTATTGAGCGACAATCGCTGAAGCTTTGGAAACAGCATGCTAGTTCTGCTGACGGCTGCCGGGTGCTCGCTGAAGCCAGTTGCACAGTAGCTGAGGAGATTTTCAACGTTTGTGCCGGTTTCGCTGATAGTTCGTGGAACGACGGGATTTACGTCCTCGATGGAAAGTGCGACAAGGTTTGGGGCGTCAAGGCGACTGAGTAGCGCGATCAATGAATCCGTCTCGACGTACCCCACGTACCCCAAGTGAAGCTCCTCAAGCATCGGAAGTGACACGACACCGCGACGGTGATATGGCTGCGAAAGAACCGGCCCAGATTCCCGAATGACAAGTCTTCGCAGCAGAGGACACGCGTTGATTATCGCTGAAAACTGATCAAACGTTGGCCTGAGAGTTCTGTCGTGGTACGAAAGCTCCAATGACTGAATGCAGTGACCCACACCAAGGGTACGAAGGAAACCTGCCCAGTTCAACGGAACACCAAAGATATCCACGTGTCGCAGTTTCGGGAGGGAGTGACATGGCGCAATGGTGTCTTGATCAGACGCGCCAGTCAAGACGGCGAACGGGACACTATCGAGCTCCATAGGAGGGAGGAATTGTTCTGCATGGGCGTGGTAAAAGTCGTTGGATCGCTTGAGCTTGATGAACTCAAGGCGCGAAGCTGCTGAACCACTTCGAGTCGGGTTGTGCGAGCTGAGAAGTCGAAGTGCAGCACAAAGCGGCTTTAAAGTATCGCTGATGACCTCCAGCGAACGCCATCGGTCCATCTGCAGGAACAAAAAGGCGAAGAGGTGGGGCAAACAGTCTGCATAGAGTTGGCTGGTTTCAGTGGAGGACGGAGACATGCACCTGAAGGTAGAGACGTTTAGACTTCCTTGAGCTGTAAATAAGGCGAACGTCTTACCCTATCAATTCACGCGATTTTGGATCGCGAGCGTCGATGAGGATGTCCAGCGAGGAATGTTTCGACCGCGTGATAAAACTCGACAACTGATCAAAGGGTTGTTGATGGAAGGTGAATACGTGATTGGGATGTGATCGGACGAGCGCCTTGAGATCGATACTGAGTGTTGACCATAAGGTCGGGACAGATATTGCGAGCTTTCTCCAGCGGGAGTTCACGGACGCCAGTACAGTCGGTAGAGTTACACTTTCAGGACTGAACGCGCGTCCTTCTTCAGAGTCACAGTCGTGTGTGGCTAATGTGAATATGTATGACAGTAACTCCACTGGAAGGGACTCGATATGACACCGTGGGACGACCTGGGAACTCATGGAATGATGGTAGTCGCCTGTGAAGCACCGATAATCAGTACAAACAGGTGAATAGTGAAGGTAAGAGCACGAACAAGAGTAAGCTCGGATGAACCGATGAGTTAGATTTGGCAGCAGCTATGGATTGACGCGTATAATGATACGGTAGACGACGTAGAAAGCGAGGAAAGTGCGCGACAGTACAAACTGTTTTAATGCGACAAGTTGGTGGAAAACGAGTGCAGATTGATCCTTGGAATTATAAGGGATCGATGACAATGAAGTTTGGTGTGTGAAGTGAAACCGGAACGCGACAATAGAGGGTGGTGACACGCGGGATTTAAACTGAATATGTGGATCAGGACCACTGAAGTTTAATCGAAAAAGCCGAGGACAAGATGGAGCTAGTGACGATAACAGTACAAATATTTCACTCAAGTAGGGAGGTGAATGGGTCGGGCGACGCTAACGACATTATGCACCGCGGAGGAATCAACAAACGGCCGAGATGAGTTTTTCAATTTTAAATAAAGTTAAATTGGTATAGTACAGCGTTCTGTCATGTAACGGCAAAGACGGGGAGAAAGGAACGCGACGATGACCGATTGAAGTCGGGAGGGGTAAGCGGGCGACGAAAAACGACACATGACCGTACACGCAGTCGTGCGGCGTAAAGCGTAAATAAATAGTATGATAGGACGTCCATCGTGGACGTTGAACCATGGAGTAAGAAGACTAGGATCATCGAAGTGAAAGAGCATCGAGCATTACGACTCCGAGCTCGACGGTAAAAACCGTCGAGCTCCAGGCGACGAAAGCTTCGTCATGTTTTAATCGTCATCCTTATGAAGGAAAGACACGACGATACAAACCGTCGTGCCATAGCCAAGGGAGATGGACGCGATGGTACATACCGTCGCGCCAGGGGAACAAGTCGAAGTTCAAGGAAGTAGTAGCACAGTAGATTAGTCTGACCAAGTGCATGTGTCACGTGTCACGTGTGAAATTATTACATACGATGAAATCATTAGGTAAGTTATTTGGCATTGTTGGGCTCTTTGCATCTCCAAAGTTCCAAGTCCATTAATCCTCACTAGCATACGTTTAATTTACCTTCACTTTTCCTTGCACACGGACTCGACGGTTTGTATTGCCGAGTTCGTCGTTGTAGGGGTCCCTCGTTATGCTCGCTTCCTTCCCCACGGCACGACTGTTTGTATGGTCGTGTCCAGGGTGACAGGATCGTCGTGAGTATGCGCGAGAGAGGGACTCAAGTCTTGACTTTCAAATAGCGCTCGCACGTCCAGCTCAATTCGTATGCCTTCGTTCGTCAGTATATGGTGCTAGGGGAAACGTATAGCATGTACAAACTAAGGGAAGCACGATCTCGTGTGATCTCAAAGAGCATGCCATTGGAATATTCCCCGATCCTTTCGACGAATATTTTAGCGCAGGCATGTTTCTACTGATATGAGTCGTTTATCGATTTATGGCTCATCAACCTTGACGACGCTCCAACCGCGGACATCAGCCCGTGTCGGGGCTGTTACTTCCCCGGACTCATCCGTCAACTGTAAGTCACTCTCTCTGGCCATAATACGCAGCTAATTGTACATTTTTAGATGCCAGCCTTCTTCCCATCTTTCAATTTAGCGCAACAGCAAGTCCCAGGTGAGGTTGCCGTTGCTTCACAAGTTTTGTCTTTCACCCGTCGAAGTTTACCTTTCGTCTAAGTGGGCAATATCTGCTTGCTTTGTGTTTATCTTGGCACCGCATCTATCCCAGCACCACAAAGTGCTTCGGGCTCCTTCATCGTTCATATCGTCCAAACAGTATACGTCCTTTTTCTTCGCCTGGCAAGTCTAATATCTTCTCTCACGTGTCGTTCGTCTAAGTGAGCAATACCTGCTTGCTTTGCTTCTAGCTTGACGCCGCGTCTATCCTAGCACCACCAAGTATCTCGAGCTCCTTCATCGATCGTCGTTCTTATCTCATCCAAACGAAAGAAGACTTTTTCTGCCCGGTGAGTCCGATCTATCTTCCGTACCTTCTCCTCACTTTGATTAGATGTCACAGACGCTTTTCTCATACAGTATCGGCACTCGAAGAAGAGAAGGAGATCGAGTTGTGGTAAGCTTTTTTCGCCTCGTCGGTGGATACTGCTCTTAACAAGTCAAAGCGCCAGCGCGATTTCTTTCAGAACCCGGCGGGGACTCAAACGTCATCCTCTGGCCCGACGACCACTCTGCATAATGCAGCATCAACCGCAAGACGCCATCTCACACGTTTGTCTGTCGGCGCTCGAGCGGCTTTGCACAGACTCCATAGTGGATGCGTGCGCGTCACAAACCACGTAGTTTCAGTAGGGTGCAGGGTGGGTCTGCGTTCATCTTGCGCGTAAGGACTT